AGGGAGAAAGGGAGAAAGGGAGAAAGGGAGAGAGATAAAGGGTAGCGTCTAGACCAGGGTGTGACTCTGGACATTAGGAAAAATCCAGTGTTCAGCACTACCCTCGTCCCCACCATATAAGTAGGGGCCTGGTACTTACAGCTCCCTGCTGGCAGGGCCTCTGGGCGGGAGGAGGGTGGATCCCTGCCAGGTCTCCTGGCTAGCACTGCCCCCCAGTGGCCGTCCTCAGTGCCCAAGGGCCTGGGGCTAGAGTAGATGGGGAACCAACCACAAGGCTCACGAAACCCTCTGGGAAAATGGAAAATGTTTGGGCCTGAGCCCTCTAGACCCTCTAACATGGTGCTGGTAAGTTTGCAGAAGATACTTTACCCTGACTAGGGGAGAAAGGACCACCTCCACTACCATACCATCAGGAACTCAAAGAGAATAACCAGCACCCAAAAGTCCTCGCCTGGAGACACCTCTGTTCTGCCACCAGCTCTTGGTGGCCTCTGCCATGCCATGCCCTGGGAAGACTTCTCAGTCATGTCCTGGGGTTGGCAAGGATGGGGATCCTTGATGATCAACAGGTTGTGAGTTTAAGACTTCAGGAACTGGTGACAAGGACCTAGGAGCTGTCTCAAGTGAGCTCTCAAAATTTCCCCACGGAGGGACCCTCGGGTCTCCTCTAGTACAGAGGGGAACCTAAGCTGAAACCTACAGGCTTTCCTACTTGGTGGAGAGCCCTGGCAGAGAAGCAAGAACCCACTGTGTAGCAATGGGGACTAGGACTGGGCCACCCCCACCCACCCAATGGGATGCACTGTCAAGGGTCATTGTTTAGGAAGGACAGAGCTTTGGGAGGCAAGAACTTGGGAGTGAGGAGGAGGAGTCCCCATGGCCAGGGTTTTGGCAGTGGGTGCAGGCAGCAGGTGGGGAGCGTTCCTCAGATGACAGCCGCAATGGCTGATCAGAACCCGGGCTCTTCTGTAGGTGTCCCGTGGCTGGTGAGCTGTCCAGTTATATCCAGCTTTCTCATAAGCAGCCATGATTAGAACATGCTTGCACTAAATACCATTTGCTGCTCAGTAGAGCACACATTTTGACTGGATGGCCTGCGTTGTTATCTGTTAAATCTGGCATCAGTGGAAAGAGGGTTTGCCTCTGCTCAACGTAACATAAGGCCATCCTGGGCAAAACTCCTTTCTCAGTTTGCTGGGGCCAAAAGGCCTGCAGAGCCCATTGCCTGGATCCTGCAGATGACATCAGCCAGCAGGGTCATCTAAAGTGAGAGGGGGTGTGAGCTCAGGCCCCAGCCTCCTGTGGTGTGTTGGGAGCTGGCTGCTCAACTGTTTGGTATAGGCATCCCCTTCAATGACAGCTCATTAGGACGCAATGGGGGAGGCTTAGAAAGCATGCCAGGTCCTTGCCTCCTTAGTGAATCTCAGCTCTTACCTCCTGGGTTTTGTTCCAGGTCCTTCAGGTAACTCCATAGCTAAGGCTCTCCTCAAGCCAACAGGAAAGAAGTGCACTTGGTGGGTCCTTGAATTCTGGGGCAACTGCCTGAGCCCTAGACCCTGGACCTGTATTTAGCAAGCCTATACATTTGCATGCAGCTGGCTAGTAGAGGGGAAGGGTGATGGGAGGAGCCTGTCCTGCTAAGAGTCTGATGGACAGCTTCTCCTGGGCACAGAGATGTGTAGCAGGTGGGCTGCCCTTCTCCCTTGCCCATTGATGCTACTCACAGGACATGGTAGGCCCTGA